CCCGATACACGACCGCGAGATGCTGGCGATCGTGCACGCGTTCAAGGTGTGGCGATGTTACCTCACGGGAGCAGACGTGACAGTATGGACAGACCACCGATCCCTACAGTACCTTCGCGCCCAACCGAATCTCAACCCACGACAGATCCGCTGGTTGGACTATCTGGAGTCCAACTTCCACTACACGGTCACGTACAAAAAAGGCGCATCCAACATCGCCGACGCACTCACACGCCCCACCGCCCAACTCCACGTCATCCTACTCGCCCAACCCACACGCTGTTAATAGGCCTATTCACCCACGGATACAGTACCGACCCATTTTTCACGACCGGAAACTCACAGCAACTGGCAGAGGCCAAAGGCGTCTATTATGTAAAAACAGGCACCAACCGCATCTGGGTACCCGCGTACTCACTACTGAGGGAACTGTTACTGCAGGAGGCACACGACGAGATTACCTCGGAACACTTCGGGGTAGAAAAAACGCGACAGCAATTGCAGCGGCATTACTACTAGCCGGAGCTGTTGACCGATGTACAGCACCACGTGGGCTCGTGCCCTACGTGTCAGGTGATGAAGAGCTCGCGAAGAAGAAAGGCGGGTCAGTTGCAGCCGATTCCACCGCCTGAGCGTGCCTGGCAGCAGGTTACCATGGATTTCGTCACGGGGTTACCTTCCAACCCTGGGGGTAACGACGCAGTTATGGTCGTCGTTGACAGGTTGACGAAGATGGCACACTTCGCTGCGTGCAAGAAATCGATCTCAGCCGAAGAAACCGCTCGCCTGTTCATCGCAACCGTCGTTCGACTGCACGGGATACCAGCCGCGATAATCAGCGACCGCGACACGAAGTTCACCAGCAACTTCTGGAAAAACCTCTGGGAGTAGTTCGGGACCAGGCTACAGTTCAGTTCGTCGTACCACCCCGAGACCGACGGTCAAACGGAGCGGACGAATCAGACGATGGAGCAGTTGATTCGTGCCACGTGCGACGGCCCTACCACTTGGGAGCAGCAGCTGCCACTGATCGAGTTCGCGTACAACAATGCCACGTCAGCGACGACGCAGCAGTCCCCCTTCTACCTGAACTACGGGCAAAACCCTACAGTGCCCATGACGCCGAGTCCAGACAACCCAACACCACGTGCACAGCAATTCGCCGAAATCCTGCAAGTTGCCCGCACTAGAGCCGCAGAAGCAATTAAAAAAGCCAATGTCATTGCTATGTCAGAATCAACAAGAGTGAGCAAAAGGAGGATTTGCACTAGCAGCAGTTGGCATACATATAGGAAACCCTAATTGGGTTGTACTCGCTATAGAGTACCCCACTGCAGGCTAGACAATTATAACATTCTGACACACCCCCATAGCCAAAGTGGGGTGTAATCAGCACAATGAGCAAGCATCGTAATAGTTCACAATTATAAGCAAAGCTAGAGGCGATCACAGAGGGCAAGTGAGGAGGAGGAGGAATTGTGAGGGGAGAGAAGATGGGAGACGACGGCTGAAGCTGCAGACACACGGGCACCAGGAGGACTGGCACAGTGGCTACCGAGCGCACGAGGGCACCGGACTACGGGAGTATCTGGCTCCGCGGCTACGACGAGCGGCAGGAGCAACGGACCCACAGGCGACTGGCACAGCAAGGCTCTCTGGGCTACCGAGAGCGCGAGGGCTCCGGACTACAGGCGCTGCGCACGACACGACGGCGGCCTCCTCTCAGCCTCCCCAAACAGTCCCACCTCCTTTCCACACACCCCCTGCTGCACCCCTAGCTCCACTCCCACGTCACCCCCGTTAAACCCTAAACCCTCGGCTCCCACACACCCACCCCCCTCAGCGGCAGCTGCAGCAGTGGGAGACAGAGGAGGAGGAGGAGCTGCAGGTTACCCACACCGCTCACCCCCATGCCCGCCACCCCCAAACCCTAACTAAGGCAGGAACGCGGGAAGCAGCAGGGGCGGTTCACGGGGGGAAAGGGAGGCGGCGGGGGGTCTCCTGGGCGCCAAGAAAGAGCAGGGCGCGGGCCCCCCGAGGGCGCCACGGCGGGTGACGGGAGGGGGGCCGCGCACGGGCCCCCGAGGGCGGCTCGACGGGCGACGGGAGGGGCCGCGCGCGGGCCCCCAAGGCGCCGCGACGAGGCGACGGGAGGGGGCGGCGCGCGGGCCCCCAAGGCGCCGCGACGAGGCGACGGGAGGGGGGCGACGCGCGGGCCCCCAAGGTGCCGCGACGAGGCGACGGGAGGGGGGGGATGCGCGGGCCCCCAAGGCACCGCGAAGAGGCGACAGGGGGGCCGGCGCGCGGGCCCCCAGGGCGCCGCGACGAGGCGACGGGAGGAGGACGACGGGGGGCAGCGCGCAGGTCCCCGGGGGCGCCACGACGGGCAGGAAACCGCCGCGCGCCTCGGGGCGCACGGCGGGCAGAAAACCGCCGCACGCCCCGAGCGCACGGCGGGATGAAAAACGCCGCGCGCTCCGAGCGCGCGGCAGGAAGATAGGGTCGCGCGGCCGGGGCGCGCGACAGCAGTAGAGCAGCGGAAGCATCGGGTGGGGCCCACCCACAGGATCGACCCAGGAGGGTCGACCTGCTCTGATACCATGTCAGCATCAACAAGAGTGAGCAAAGGGAGGATTTGCACTAGCAGCAGTTGGCATACATATAGGAAACCCTAATTGGGTTGTACTCGCTATAGAGTACCCCACTGCAGGCTAGACAATTATAACATTCTGACATGCTAAGCGCAACGCTGACCGCCACCGCAGCTCAGTCACGCACCAGTCAGGAGACTACATACTGCTCGACACACAGAACTTAAGACTGCCCGTCGTACCAAAATTGCGACCCCGCTACTGTGGACCATTCCAAATCAGCCATATGAATACCCCAGTGAAAGCCCACCTACTGTTGCCGACGGAGTGGTACATCAGCCCTTCATTCCACGTCAGCCTGGTTCGCCCATATGTCCCAACCACAAGCGAACTGCCTCGTCACCGCCCACCATCCATGACTCGCCCTGCATCGGAGCCGATCATTGAGCCCGAAAAAATCCAGAGCCATCGGATTCGACACGCCACGGGAATCAAGAGGATTGAATTCCTCGCTCGCTGGAAGGATCGCACGCCAACTGAAGATAGTTGGGTGCCCCTGGCCAACATCGAAAACCACCCTGTCCTGCAAGTGTACCTGAGGAGCCGGGGTTTCCGCGATATACACGCACTCGCGTAGCGGAGGGGGCTTCTTGAGGGGGGGGTAGTGTAAGGAATTTTCTCAATATTCCTTAGCGCACCCTGCAACACCGCGTACAGCTGCAGCCGTTGTTCGCCCGTTACTGCTAACGGGGCTTCGCCGACTTCGCGCGCACTGTTTTACCAAACCTCGCACTGCTGGACCGGCCGTGTCGGCCTACGCTTCGGAACTAGCCCGAGCCTCGCTTCCAGCGTAGCACTAGCTAGCTCGCACGCACCGCGTTACCGTTTGCATGTTTCGCATATAAATGTTCGTTCATGCCTTCGCTCACATTTTGTACTCGTTTGACACCTCAGTGCAATTCTCGCTACTTCGATTCATTGCACCCGTAACAGTAACTGATTACGATCTTAATATATTCCTATTCCTATACGCATCCGTCAACCAAATGCCAAGAATGGATGCGAGACCCATGTGCTTGTGCTTCTGTCGTTTCACCAGGAAAATGCTGCTCTTGCGATGTGAGTCGTGTCGGCGGTGTGCAATCGAGTCCGAAGTGGGACGTCAACAGATGTCGACAGATCCTGACGGTCGGAACCCTCGATCCGAGGGCTAACATTTACCGACATCCCCGAAGTTTTGTCAACGGATGTTGACGTTCGCTTGGAACACCCGCTAATCAAGTCGAGTCCCTTGCCTCTCGTGATTCTTGTTCTCCTAGTTCCTCTCATGATTCTTGTTCTTCCGTTGCTTTCTTGAATATACACCGAAACTGCGATAATTCCACACCCCTTATCTTCACGCCCGAGGGTAGCCACCCTCATTTAGTCTGATTTTGAGAGTGGTTCACAACATTATTTGATTTATATAGGTTACACTCACGCAATCCCGTGGCGAGATTTCCCGAAGTACAAGCATGATGTGGAGATTTTCCCCCTCTCAATCTGACTGTGAAGTGTAAGTTTCGTGAGGCTGGACGTTCCGGTAATTTAATTATAGACCCATATTTTCAGGGTGCCTGTGTCTTCGAACCAAAAACTATTTAGGGTGTCTGGCTAGGGAAGCGTACGGGGTGTGGAATTATCGCAGTTTCGGTGTACATAAGCAGTTTGTTTGGGTGATGCGAATCAGAAGCTAGTTCACGTCGACACTTGGCTGGTTCCTTCGCTTTTCTGTTTTCCATTCACTGCTCCGATCCTTAGCTCCTGCGTTGCGTGCCTCAAAAGTCCTCTCAGTGCTCAGTGTTCCTCAGCATCTGAAGTGCATCGCAGTACTTTCTCAGTCTACCTCCTCCTCTCCCAGCCTAACCCACTGCACCGTCTGAACGTCAGCGCTCTCGCGAACTCCCGTTAAATAACCTATTCACTCAGAGGGGGAAGCGTCCAACGCGTGAAATTTCCGCGTCGCGCGTCGCACGACATCATGTGGCTTTGGATAGTGCGCCTTGCGAAGAAGATCATGCCCAAGGTCCGCGCCAGACGCGCCGCAAGGCGCGGAGAGACACAGAACGAGACTGCGTCGGGTTAGACGCACAGTACCAGGCTACTGAAGTATCGATGGACAATACTAATGTTTAGGAAATGTGTGCACTTGCAGGATAGCAACGCTTGGCTACACTATGTATTGTTGTGATTAATCACCCCATTTTGTAATTTATTTGAGGGCCTTCGCATACTTTCCAGGTGCCCCCTGGGCTGCTTCTTTGACATAAACTGAAACGGCCAGGGCATAATTTTGTCAACAGAGAACCATTGGCTGCATGCCAGGCGTTCGTCCTCAAAAGAAAAGACTTCTGATATATAGTTGGCAATTCACAGTACTTTGGCAAAAGCAGCTGCTGCCATGGGCTGTAGCACGTTGATTCCAAGTAGAAAGGCAATGGCTGTTCCGATGGTGTAGCCAAATGTCCCCAGTAGCACCGCAGGACGCACCTGGAAATTCAAGGGATACAACAATGGGTTTTCTTTGTTACAGCAGAAACATATTGTTGAATATTCTGGGCTGAATGAAGCAATGCTGCTGATGCAAGTGAAGAGAGGATAGGGAGTGGCAGTTGGATGGACCAGTGGAATGTATATTGTACCATGAAATCGCTCACACCCTGAAACCCCATGTGTTACCAGTACAGACAGTGCAGGTTTCTAGACGATAAACCCAACAAAAAACCTGAACACTGTAGCTGGTCTCACCAGTTGGGGCCAATTGCGGGCACTGGCCATAGCAGCAGCAGTGGCAGGACCCCCCACATTGGCATTGGATGCTACCATTAGCTGATTGGGGGGGGATGGGAAGGGATGGAGAAGCAAGGAGGGAAGCGACATAAGGGAGGTTATTTGGCGTCTCGAAGCAGCCATGGAAGAGATGCTAGGGAAGGAACGAAATGAGGGACCAGAGGGGTAGAAGGAGAAGAGTAACAAGACAGAACACCTTCTTCTTCTTCTCTTTTTTTTTCGTTCTTTTTTGTTTTCTTTGCTCCATTCATCTGCATAGGAAATCACTATACGTAAAAACATATGTGATGCTGTGACAGTGTGTTTTTAACTGACTCCACATTGTTCCGCAAGTTTCTGTATGGGAACTAGATGGACAAAAAAAGAGGGTAAGGAGCCAGAGCATCAGCGCTAATAAAAGCTTGCATAAGGAAAAGGATGCAGCACTTACAATATCGAGTGGGATGTTGAGAAGTCTTCCCCCTAGAAGAACTACTACAATGTGAACCTGATGTGGCGGGCGGATCGTGCAGCAAGGAATGGAAAAGGGGGAAAGATCAGGAGTTTGGAAATGCCTACGAGTGGCTGAGGGAAAACAGAGAACAGAGAACAAAACAACTAAAGGGAATAGATTGCAACTTGTGGTGGAAAAAACGACTCCTTCAAACTACAATTTTCAGGAGCCATCACCAATGAGCAGCAGCCATGACATACCATTAACACAGTTGCAACGAATGCAAGCAGACCACCACCAGCGGACATGGCTTCAGACACACTTGCTGACGCTCCTATCTGCCAGAGAAAGGGTAAAGGGTAGCTAAATGGTCAAGACGGATTAGGTAGCACCAACGGTTGCAGCACCATCACGTGTACTAGCTTAAAGCCCGAAATCCTACTGCCCTCGGACATCTCAAGGGTACCTGGAAAACGCTGATTGATGCCCATGAAGGAAAGGGGGTGACTATTAACTTGCTCGGTTATGGGCGCGCAGGAAGGCTTAAATTTGCAAAGAAGACCAGAATTAGGGAGTTCCCAAGCGTCTCTGCTCCTGTGGACAGTGAACAGTGAATTTTTTAGGCGCCTGGAAAATAAGCTTACATTTGCAAAGAAGACCAGCATCAGGGAGTTTCCAAGCGTTTCTGCTCCTGTGAACAGTGAACCTCCCTCCTCTCCCTCCTTTCTCTTCTCCCCCCGCCCTGTCAGCCTGGCTGCTACAGTCGACAGGAGGGAGGCCAGCAGGGCGGCAAGCGCCAGCTGTGCCGAGGCCATCACGGGCGGCAGGTGGACGGCAATTTTGTCCGCTAGCGCGCATGCTGAGGCGGCAGCGGCAATGGAGAGAGTGAGGGACTCCACCGAGGGGGCGGGGGGTGGAGAGTGAGTGAGGTGTGAGGAGGATGAGGAGGGAGGGGAGGGAGACGGCAGAGGAGCAGGAGTGTGCAAGGATGAGGAAGAGGAAGAAGAGGCGGAAGGAGAAGGAGAGGAAGGAAACGGGGAGGAGTGGAGGAGAGGAGCCGAAAGCCCTGTATCTAGCTTTTTCTCCGACTCATCAGAATTGCCTCCTATCTTCACCCCTCCCCACCTCTCCCCACCCCACGGCTTGGGCCAGGAGTCTGGGAGGGCAGCAAGCACCGAGAAGTAAGCGGCCATGAGAAGGTTATCGACTGCCATGCCTGCTGTGAGTAAGCTGGCTCCCGTGCTGGCCGCTGCCGCTCCTGCTGTGATGTCCATGCCCAGGGCCTGATATGCATGTGCATACAGGAAGGAACGGACGGGAGGAGCAAGGGAGACATAGAGCACTGAGAAGTAAGCGGCCATGAGGAGATCGTCCACCGCCATGCCTGCTGTCAGCAAACTGGCCCCCATGCTGGCTGCTGCTGCTCCTGCTGTGATGTCCATGCCTAGAGCCTGTGGTGTGTGGTGGTGAGAGGGGAGGGAGGCAGAGAGCAGCAAGCACCGAGAAGTAAGCAGCCACGAGGAGGTTGTCCACCGCCATGCCTGCTGTGAGTAGGCTGGCTCCCGTGCTGGCTGCTGCTGCCCCTGCTGTGATGTCCATGCCTAGAGCCTGGTGGATGTGTGAACAGGTGAGAAGAGGAGATTCAGCGAGAGGGACAGAGAGTAGGGAGAGTAGGCGGCTACGAGGAGGTTCTTGAACTCAACTCTCTTCTTCCATTGCCTCTCCCTCTCTCCTCACCTTAGCAGTGGCAGCGTAGTCCACGCTCCTCCCAATGTACGCAGCACAGAAGCAGGCCGGCACCCTTCATTTTCCTAGTACTCTCTCTCTGTCTCTCCTTCATCCCTCTGCCTCTCCCTCTCTCCTCACCTTAGCAGTGGCAGCATAGTTAACACTACCACCGATGTACGTCGCACAGAAGCAAGCCGCCACCTTCCACCCCTCCACCCCCAGGGAGGGCCCGGCCAATGAGAAGCCAACTAGTGTCCCTGCAATCGTGCCCGCTGCACCCAGCAGGAACGCTAGCAGGCCGGGACCTGATTGGAGGGGAAGGCAGGGGAAGGGGGGGAGAGGAGAGAGGCGATTTTTGAGACGTTTCGAAAATCGCCCAGAAGGAAGGCTAGCAGGCCGGCCTGATTGGGATAGGCAAGGGAGTGGGGGTGGAGAGAGCGGGAGAGAGAGGGCGTAATCCATGTGATAAGGCGAGGCAGCATGACATTGGATGGCATTGTTGGCATGGCATGGGCATGGCATGGGCATGGCATGACATATGGTAGCTTGTTGTGAGGTCCTGCATAGCATAGAATGGCACGGGATGATGTATGCCTCACCTGACTGTGTGAATGCTGACGTCACATCTGTTTCTAACAGCACCAGAGCCACGGCCATGGGCATGACACGTGTCCACACCTGATTGGCAGGCACAGAAAGAAGAGGAACTCACAAAATCGTGAGCACAGGAAGTAAAGAAAACAAACGAACAAAAAGACAACTCGGCTGCGAAGATATTTTCACGGCGTGCTCAACGTTACGACGTGCGCTCACGATATTTTTGCCGCTCGCTTACAAAATCATAGACGGGAGAGGCGGTGGGCAGCACTGAGAGGGAGGCCAGCACGGCTGCTGCGAGCATGGCTAGCAGCACTGACGACACCTGCTGGCCCCACGACGTGCGCTGCTCCAGCAACTGAGGGGTGGGACAGGAGAGGGGAGGGGGTGAGGGGTGGATGGGGAAACGAGACGAGAGGCCTCACAGCATGGCTAGAAGCACCGATGACACCTGCTGACCCCACGACGTGCGCTGCTCTAACAGCTGAGGGGGGGAAGGGGGATGGGGGAGGAGGTTGGAGAGACGAGGGGGGAGGAAAAGAGGGGACGCGAGACCTCACGAATTTAGAGGTTGAGCAGCATGGCTAGAAGCACCGACGACACCTGCTGACCCCACAACGTGCGCTGCTCCAACAGCTGAAGGGCGGGAGGTGGATGATGGGGAGAATGGGGAAGGCGGAAAAGGGGAGACGAAAGACCTTCAATCAGAATCCAGTGAACACACAGCATGGCTAGCAGCACCGACGACACCTGCTGACCCCATGACGTGCGCTGCTCCAGCAGCTGAAGGGCGGGAGGTGGATGATCGGGGAATGAGAAGGGGGAAAAGGTGAGAGGAGACCTTGGAACAAAATCCAGTGAGCAGTCAGCGTAGTGGTAGGCACCGATGACACCTGCTGGCCTTATGACGTGCGCTGCTGACTTTTGAGTCGACTCAAAAGTCAGCGTAGTGGTAGGCACCGATGACACCTGCTGGCCCCATGACGTGCGCTGCTCCAACAGCTGAGGGGTGTGAAGGGCGGGAGGTGGATGGGGAGAATGCAGTGAGCAGACAGTTAAGACAGAGACCGGGGAGCTCACAGCATGGTTAGAAGCACTGACGACACCTGCTGGCCCCATGCCGTGCGCTGGTCTAGCAGCTGAGGGGAGTAGGAGGGGAGACGGGTGGATGTGGGAAACACAGGGAGCACATAGTGAAGAAAGAGACAAGAGAGCACACAGCATGGCCATGGGTACAGATTCAATTTTGAGGGGCAGAATGGGGCAGAGGAAGTGACTCTGGGGAAAAGAGGGAGAGAGAGCGTTTAGAGTGAACGGAGTGACTTTGGTAACCCAAGTCACCTGTTAGCCGTATTCTGTGCGCTGCTCGGAGTTAGATGGTGGGGAAAAGGGGGAGGAGGAGAGGAGGGAAAACAGAGTGATTATTGACTTGGGATTTACTAGTCGCGGTGAGAGAATAGAAATCACGATGTGAGTTGAGCACGCTCGTTATAGTCACCTGGGCGCCAGCGGCGCACGCGCACAGCACCGCCCAGACCGCTCCGTCTGACAGCCCGCCGCCTGCAGCAGCGACGGCTGTAGCTGTAGCAGCACCGGTGGCCGCGGCGGCTGTAGCAGCGGCAGTTGTAGCAGCACCAGTGGCAGCAGCGACAGCCGTAGCAGCATGAGCCGGCATGGCAACACCTGCTACAGCCGCGCCGCATGCAATCGCGATCAGCACGCCCAACGAACCCGCCCCTGCGGCTGTAGCAGCTGCACTACATCCGCTGTTCGTCCCATTCCCAACCGCCACGTGGCCGGCACATGGCTTCCTGTAAGCCGCAATGCTACAGCCGCGCCCGGTTGTCCGAACTGACTCGTGGGCGGCACGTGGTTTCCTGGAATCCCCAATGCTACAGCCGTCGGCCGTCTCGGCAGCCAGGCTGCTGGCACGGCGGCTCCCATCACGCTCTCTGCTACAGCCTGTCGCATCTAGATTGTGAATGCTTCTGCTACAGCCAAGGTTGTCAATGCTACGGCTAAATATTATACTTCCTCTGCTACAGCATGTGCGTCTCCTGGTAAAATCCTCTCTGCTAGAGCATCTAGCGGCAGCGGATGTGGCGGCAGCGGCTGTGGCGGCAGCCTGATGAAACGGCGCCGCTGCTGCTACAGACCGGAATGGCATGACTGAGGAGGAGAGGAGGAGACTAACCCGTCAATTCGTCCTAAAACTGTTATTGAGGCGCCTCAAAAGGACAATGAGGAGAAGACAAACTCGTCAATGCGTCCTAGCTGCGGGTATATCAGGATGAGAAGATTCGAGCGCCGGTGCTATCGGGAAAGAATGCTCCTCGCGAGGATGGTTCGGAATTTTATAACAGAAAATGGATAATAATCTGCTTTTGAGTCGACTCTTTAGCAATGTTATAAATGAAAATGAGTAATCATGAAACTGTGTGTCATTCTGAGGTGAGCGTGATACTCATGAGCCTTTTCTTCGCCACCACGTGAGAAAAAGAAGGAATTCAGCGTTTAGGACCTGAAAAAATGCGACGAGAACAGGTCCATAGCCCACGAAGTCACGCTGAACGTTTGAATCAAAAATTAAACGCCAAGCATTACTCCTGGACGTTCATGAGCCTCCTGACCAGCTCTTTCCACAACAGCTGGTCTACTTGGGCTAGATAATGAGTGGATTCAACCCACTGACACTCCAGGCTCCCAGAACAGAGACGAACGAAAGATGCATACTTGCTGCTGCTGTTGCTGTGCTGATCATGAAGCCGTCTAAATACTCCGTGTGGATAAGGATGCCGACATTTTTCCCGCGCTCTCTTCGCGGCTCGCTTTTACATATTTCGATACGCGTATTTGCAAGAAAGGTACACCAGATTTTAGACAAATTAGTAGCTTATTTTCTGAATACAGTTGCTGCTGACACTGCAAATATCAACACTATGAGAATCTCTTCAGATTAACCACTTCTAATGGTGACACTACAAGCTTAACAGAATAGACATTATTCCAGAAGACATTTTTATTCGAATATAATGGCCCCACCAATCGGAAGGTGATCACTCGGGAAATACAAATTCGGAAGGCCCATCCCAAGCCTAGCATCTTCCCTGCTTGGCAGCCATAAGGTTGACGTAACCGAAAATGGCCTTGCATCCTTCGATACAAGCACATAATCAATCGTTCCACAAAAGGGCGGGTTGAACGTTGTCAGCTCCGGTTCTTGCCCACAACCTCGTCCCTCAACCATATCTTCCATTCTGATACTGTTACCGGCAGATTTCATTGCCTCATGGACCGATGTACTACCATCCTCCTGTTTCTTGCCATCGCATCCCACTGCCTCTGATTCTGCTGGTGCTGCTCCTCCAACCTCTCCTGCTGCAACTCGCCCCGTTGTTGCTTCTCCTGCTTCTGCTGCTGTGGCTGCGTCTCGTGCTGCTGCAGCATCAACTGGTACAGCAGCCAATACTCTGCTGACAGCTGTAGCATTAAGACTTGCCAGTGGTATGGGTGCGATTGGAAATGCAGGTGCATCTGTTGATGATGCTTCTGGTGCTGCTGCTTCTGGTGCTGCTGCTTCTGGTGCTGCTGCTTCTGGTGCTGAGTCATCTGGTGCTCTTGATGTTGCTGTTGCTTCCGGTGGTGTTGCTAGTGTTGTGGGGAGGACCTGGCCTGATGTCAGGTACTCATACACCTGCAATGGGTGGGTAAACAATGAAAACAATTGGGTGCTTACCTATTGCACACACCCACGCACACACACAGATATTCGGCTTCATACATAGGATGACTGCATGCGGATGTGATGATAGCAGGTCTGACAGGCACCATGACGCGCCCGGGCGGGCACCATGAATTGCAGCTCCAGGCGCAGGGGAATCTGCAGCTGCAGACGCGCCCGGGCACCATGACGCGCCCGGGCACCATGACGCCAGGGAGCGAGTTAAAGTCACCATGGGCCAAGAGTTGAGCTTACAGGGTCACCGGGAAGAGAGTTGAAGTCGCCGCAGATGACGGTGACTGGCGTGCTGCCTGGCGCACTAGTGGCACTGGCAGAAGGGCATGATGTGCCTAGCACGGGTCAGAGCTGACTGTATAGAGGGGCCGGGACTTCAATAAACTTACTTACAGGGTCACCGGGAAGAGAGTTGAAGTCGCCGCAGATGATGGTAACCGGTGTGCTGCCTGCCGCACTTGTGACACTAGCAGATGTGTGACTGTGTGCGGAGGGGACTATAGAGGATCGGAACTGTGCCACTTGCTGCAGCAGGTAGTGTGCTTGAGCCAGCTTCACATCTGCACATGCTGGATCCCTGGGGTGAAGTGGGATGGTGGATGGTGCATGATGAGTGTAAATGGTGTGTATGATGCTGACTGTTGAGTCGACTCAGAAGAGCCGTGCCTCCTGTTGCAGCAGGTAGTGTGCTTGAGCCAGCTTCACATCTGCACATGATAGATCTCTGGGGGGGTGTGGGATGGTGGATGGTGCATGTGTGAATGGTATGGTATGGTGGTATGGCATAATGGCATGCTATGTATGGTACAACATGTGTGGGCAACTGAAAAAAAGCTACCACAAGATAACAAGAAAATTCCTCTGGTTGATAACAAACCAGTTTTTGGTGTTGAGAAAAAAAAAATGACACGCCACACATACGGACCAGAATATGTGAGATGACGCCACCACCACCACTCGCCCCTCTCCCTGCTGCCCTCTCTCTCCTCCTCTTCCTCCTATCCCTTCCCAAACCACCTCCCCTCCTGCCATGCTCTCCCCATCCTCTGCCTCCTCTCCTTCCTTTTCTTCACTCGCTCTTTCTTGGAACGCCGCAACAATGGCGACACAGTCGCGCTTGAAGCGAACACGCGGATCATGCAGGTCACGCGATTCAGACAGGTCAGCACCGGCACTTGGTTTCTCAGTCGCCTCCGACACATGGGAGGCGGATAGGTCTCGGGTTTCTTCGGACGAGTCGGGACTGGGAGTGTCTGCTTGGGCCGGCTGGTTTGGTTGGTCTGGGTGGTCTGGGGGAACGAGGTCGTTGAAGTTGATTGGTTGCCAGCGAAGCAGGCGGAATCTGGGGGAGCAAGGGAAAAGAAACCATCAGGAAGCAATTCGGGGAAGCCAGAAGCAGACACGGATGAGCCGACCGACACCGAATGTCAGCGATTCGGAGAAACCATCAGAAAAATGTCGCACTGCACTCACACTTCCTATATCAGTCACTCGACCAGTAGAGAAGCCGGAAAATTACTCATTTCATCCCACATTCTTCCCTGCATCTTATGAGTTTCCTCAAACCAGCCTTGATTCTGAAATGAGTTTTCATTCATCCCACGCTCACCTGCTAGATCGGTAAAAGATGCCGCTTCCGTCCCTCTTTTTACCCGGCCTCTTCACATACACACTCTCCCAGCCCGCAGCTGCCATCGGCTGGCGATACACTGCCTCGTACTCGTCCATCTCCTGAACACAGAGGAAGTCAGCAGAGAGGGCCGGCAGCAGCGTGAGAAGCACCTTGAACCGATTCCTCTGCCTGGTAGGCGGGAGGAGGGAGGGGGAGAGGGGAGAGCATGGGGCAAGTAGGGAGCACGGGTCACCTGAACACAGAGGAAGTCAGCAGAAAGGGCCGACAGCAGCGTGAGAAGCGCCTTGATCCGATTCCTCTGCCTGGTGGTGGCAAGAAGGGCGGGGAGGTTGGGGGTGGGGGGGGGGGGCGGAGGAGGGCGGAAGACGCTTTTGGGGAAGGGAACGTTTCAGCATGAGATAGGAAGCAAAAGTAGGAAGGCGATATGAGAAATTCTTGCTGGTGGAGGGATAGTTTGATAATAAATAGGGGAAGAATTATGGAAGAGAGGCAGGGAAAGCAAGGAAGGCGATGAGCTTTAAGTCGACTCAAAATAAGGCGGACGAGATGCGAAATTATTCCTGGTGAAGGGATAGTTCCAGTATTGAAGGGGGGAAATGGTAAGGAGGCGGGGAAAGCAAGGAAGGCGCTGTGTTGCCGTACGGTAAAAGCTCACAACAACAACAGTACCTGAGGGACTGTGGCGGTGAGTGGGGGAAAAGCTCGCTCTTGACGTATGCCTGCGAGAGAGTGAGTTATGCAGATGAGATGACACACATGTGAGAGGGCTTATGCACTGCACATTGTCATGGATTTGACATGAACACATGATGAACACACACATATGCAAGTCGTGGCATGCAAAGAAAAATGCACATGCACACGGACATGAAAATCACGTCCAGATTTACATGACATGACATGGACTTCAAATGCACATTCACACCACCACACCACACCACTCCACACCACAATATACCACACGACACCACACCACACCCCTTCACACCACATGCCTGCGCCAGGATATTGTAGGAGATGACACGAAGTGACAGGCCTGCCGAAGGGAGCAATAATGGGAGAGAGGCGAGGGAGAGAAGAGGGGAGGGGCGACGGACAGGAAGAGACAGAATGGTATGGGAAAGAACGCGAATGGAAGAAGAGTAATAGAATCCCAACTGTATGACCCATCATCGCCATGCATCCCTCCCCATCGAAACCCAATCCCCAGTTGTATTGGAATCACTTGTAAGAATTCTCAAAACCCCAAATCCCGCTCAACCAATAAAAAACAAAGCATTCTCCAATCATCGCATCACTATCTGCTCATGTCCTCACTCACCCTCCTTCCCCATTGCCCTTGATTCCCCACCGACAGCCTGAAACTCCGGAATCATCAATGTTGCTCCTTCCCCTCCGCCTCCGCCTCCGCCTCCGCGTTCCCCCCCCCGTTCCCCGCGCTTCCCCCCATTTGTCATTTTTTCAGCCTTTTTCCGATTCCCTTTCTCCTTCACTCGCCTAAATTTCTCTCCCTTTCTCCCCTCGCCTCCCTCTTCCCCTCCACCCTCGCCCATCTTCCCCACTCCCCCGCTTGTCCGCTCCCCGATCCTCGTTCCCTTCCTCCCCTTCCCAGCTTCGAACTTCCCCGTGGCTTCCCCGTTTTCCGCAAACTCCCCGCGTGCGGGAACCCCCGGCCGTTGATCCAGTCCGTTCGAGCTATGGGGGGCCGTTGATTCAGTTCCGATTCCTGATCCGGCTTGACTTCGATCCACCGCCTCCGCACCTCCCGGCAGTTTTCCCGGGATCCCAGGGCTGCTGTTCTCATAACCCATGTCCGCACAGCGGCCTGCGCGCCGACTAAACAACCTGTGTCGAGGAACCTCAGTGCACGAAGCGTTACTAGCACTGAAAGTGGTAACTTCAGGCGGTGTTGAGGAAACGAGTGTGAATCTCGGGAACAAACAAGCCAGATTATAATAAGTAAGCCGAGAAGGGGAGAGACGGGAATCTGGACAGCTTCTGGCAACGCGGAAGCTGCTGAAATCGAGACTCTTCGAGCCGCGCGGGCTGATGAGTAGCGACAGGCGACTACTGGTAACTGCGGTTGGAGCGCGGGACACGGAATGTGCGGTTAAGAGAGCATCGCATCGCAGGTACTGGATAGCCGCAGCGGCTTTCAGCGTTGAAGATCCGGAGCGAGAAATGGTGACCATGGACGGTTGCTGATGCGATCCGGAAAAGCGTCAACGGAAACTACTCGCCCACGTGTTTGGGGTTGACGTCATGTTATGGAGGAGTTCTGATCAGTGTCAGCAGCAGATGTTGTCAGAAGCATCGAAGAGTGTTTCTAGAAATGTAACTCTCATGTCTATGCTTTGAAGAGTGTATATTTTGATTATCTAACTCTTCATATATCGGGTTCAGCATTTATCCTCACGCCCCATCCCCCCAGCATCCATTCCAGCTGAGCACATGACTTTCGTGGTCAGAAACGTGTGAGCAAATCGCGACTACACGTGGCCGTCTCTTCGCAAAGTGTCCTGAAGTTCGGGATTTCATCCCCATGTGGTCTTCATTTTCAGCCTAGCAAACTCGCGTCGCGGAGGGCCTAAAGATTCTTTCTCTTTGGGGCTGATATTTTTTTTCTGGGCAAAACAGTTCAGAATCCAGTTCAGAACGGCCAAGTGCAGAGCAGAAGTCCGGACGAAGGCTCTGCATAAACGCCAGAGAATCATCACCGTACAGAACCTGTGCTAGCACAACGAAATCGTTTCCCATCCAGTAATTTGCTATTTCAACCTGGGGATGTCTGCTGAGTGGCAAAAGCACAGGGCCTGAAAGTCGGTCCATTAGTGAAAATGTTTGTTTTCGCAGTCCCCTCCCCATACATTTCTCTGCCCAGCAATCAGAACCGGCAGCCAGCCTTGAGCTTGGAGCACAGCACAGCACAGCACATTCGTCTCCTCGTCACGCTTCCTTCACTCGAGCTTCGACCATTTCTTCATCCATCTCTCACCTCTCTTATCACTTTCCAATCTCGAGGTCCCCTCTCTTGCTCAGCATTGCGTCGGTGTTTCTAGGGATTTTCAGAAACACAGTAGCCGGCGCCGGGCCGAGTCCACACAGGGGAACCTACAGGTTCTAATTACACCAGTCCATTTTCTTGGCTCGAAGCTCAAGTTCCGTATTCCCATAGGTGTACGGACCTCGAGCTCCAATGGCTGCTTCCACCAGCCAAGCCCTTCGCTCAGGGCTCTCCTCCGTGAGAGCAGCGAGCAGCACCCCAACCGACATTTCTTCCTCGCGTCGAGATGGCCAGAATCGCAATAGGCTCGTTGTTCAAAAGAGTCCGTTTCTTGGAAAACTTAGTACGCCAGCCGGGCGATTGCTTCTCCCAGCGAGGTCTTCCCTTAACCGTGTACACTCCTCGTCTGCTCTTCGCGTTAACGCTGTTATCGAAGCACCTCCTAACGGAAGCGTCAGACAAGGCGATAATTCCTCCCCATGGACCCCGGAGGAAGAAGAAGGCGGTCGCGCGCTTTACAGCGCGTCGGGAAGATCGTCACACGGATCAGAAGCGAAAGTCGTCGGAGCGACGGTTATCGCTACCAGCAACGGAAGCGCGGTGAAGATGGTTCTCGCTGACGAGGTCGGTAAGAACGGCGCAGCGAACGGCGCGACAAACGGCGCAGCAAAGGCTGCTGCTGTTGTTGTGGAGGAGAAGATCGGCGAAGGGTCGAAAGGCGTGGAGGAGCTTACAGTGGAGGATCGCCCGTGGTTCGAGAAGGCTCGGGCTAGCAATGTGCAGGTTCGTCCTCGTTATCAATCGTCTCGTTTTCACAATGTACTTGCGATAAATGGTGTCTGTCTTAGTACAGCGTCCGTAGCATAATATGGCCCGGCAGGTCTCGCTTCTAGTGTAGCTTCGAGTCTTCGAAGCCAGAAGGGGGTCGATTCCTGAATAATTGCTTGAAATAAGACGTCTTGGATTCTTTTGACGTGGCTTACAGGTGTCCGTGGCGCCAGGCGGACGGTGGAACCACTTCAAGACGTACTCCGTCATCCAGCGCACCTTCGAGATTTGGAGCTTCGTTATTGTCTTCCTCGTCAAGGTACGCAATATAAGGGGCTGTCGGGTGCGTGATACGCTTAGTGTTCATCAGGAACGAAGTGGAATGGAAATCACACTGGCACATCTGTACGATTCGGAATCGCTCAGGAAGTACATGATTACTGTACGGAAGGAAATCGAAATCAAGCACGCGTAAATATCAAAGCAGATATCGAGACCGCTATTTAACCGCGCTCAAAGGCTTTGCCGCTCATCATACGGTCTAGGCGACTATCAGCGGGCACACGCGACGAACAGACAACAAACAGCAGTTCCGCCGTTTCCTCTTCGCTCAACCCCTCGCTTCCTCTACTTTCACCCGCATGTCTCCCGCGCACCTTCTCCTGTCTCAGGCGTGGCTGATCAACCGCCCCTGGATGTACCGCGGCGGAGTCACGGACGCGAAGAAGGGCGAGCGGCGGCGGGAGCTCGCGCGGTGGCTCAAGGAGGGGCTGCTGCGGCTGGGCCCCACCTTCATCAAGATCGGCCAGCAGTTCTCCACCCGCTCGGACCTATTGGCTCAGGAATACATTGCGGAACTCTCAGAACTGCAGGTGAGGGGCTGGGATGGGCGTTGGTCTGAGTGTCGGAGTTTCCTCACTAGATCGCTGGTTCCTGGTCTGTTTGGCTCAAGGAGGGGCTGCTGCGGCTGGGCCCCACGTTTATCAAGATCGGCCAGCAGTTCTCCATTCGCTCCGACCTCCTTGCTCAGGAATACATCGCCGAGCTCTCAGAGCTGCAGGTGAGAGACGCTGGGACTAGCCTTCCAGTTGCCAGCAGTTCTCCACCCGCTCGGACAGGAGCACATCGCAGAGCTCTCACAGCTGCAGGTCAGAGACTGGGCCGAGAGTTTCCCCTATCTCACCTTCTCCCTGCTTTCATCCAATCGTGTTCTCCCCTCGCTTCCATCCGTCGCTCCCTGCCTTCCACCCACTTTCACCTTTCCCTCCTGCAGGACCAAGTGCCACCGTTCGAGTCGGACACGGCTCTAGCCATAGTGGAATCGGAGCTGGGCAAGCCCATCTACGAGGTGTTCGAGCGGTTCGACCGCGACCCCATCGCAGCGGCCAGCCTGGGGCAGGTGCACCGCGCGCGGCTGCAGGGCAGGGAGGTGGTGGTGAAGGTGCAGCGGCCGGGGCTCAAGGACCTGTTTGACATCGACCTCAAGAACCTCCGCGTGCTCGCCGTGAACCTGCAGAAGATCGATCCAAAGTCGGATGGGGCTAAGCGCGACTGGGTGGCCATCTATGACGAGTGCGCGTCCGTGCTTTACGAGGTGGGTGTGCGTGTGGTGGCGTGTGATTGTAGTGGTATGTGATTGTAGCGAAGTGTTGGCCGAAACAGACGGCGTTAGAGGGTCTGTCGGGGGTGTGTTGCCGTCTACGTTGTGTGCGCATCTTTGGTGCCTGAGGTAGCCAAAGATGCCGCACCCTGTCTTCCCCTTCCCAACCCAATTACCCTGCCATGGCCCACTCACAGGAAATCGACTACATGAAGGAGGGCAAGAATGCTGATAGGTTCCGGGAGAACTTTAAAGACATGGACTATGTGAAGGTGCCCAAGATATACTGGCAGTACACCACGTCGCAGATGCTGGTGATGGAATACACGCCTGGCATCAAGATCAACCGGATCGACGCACTGGATAAGCTGCAGGTCGACAGGAAGAGGTACGGAATGGATTCCTTGTGGTCTGGGTGGTATGGAAGTGTGGGATGGAAGGGGGAGGGGCAAGGGTGCGTGTGCAGAGATACACGACGCCACAGATGCTGGTGATGGAATACACTCCCGGCATCAAGATCAACTGGATCGACGCTCTGGATAAGCTGCAGGTCGACAGGAAGAGGTGGGCTGTTGGGGTGGGCACTGGGGGCGAGTGGTGTTTTTGGGGACAGGAGGGGGGTTGGCAGTACACCACGTCGCAGATGCTGGTGATGGAATACACGCCCGGCATCAATATCAACCGCATTGATGGGCTGGATAAACTTCAGGTTGACAGGAAGAGGTACGGAACAGGACGTGTTGCGGGGTTTGGGATGGGGATGGTGGGGTGGGGGTGGTTGGGGGGGTGGGGGTGGGACGGGATTCGCGACACATTGATGCAGATGCTGGTGATGGAGTGGAGTGGAGTACACGTAGGGGAACACGATCAAGCAGGTAGATACACTGCATTAGCTCCAGGTCAACAGGAAGAGGCCTGAAACAAGATGGGTTGTGGTTTAGGTGGTGGTATGGCGAAGTGGGTTTGAGGGGGGGAACGAGGAGGGGCGTTTGCATATGCACTGGATCAAGAGCAGTTGTATCGATGCACTTGATATACCGCAAAAAATACTCATCCTCCTGCCATCCTCGTTACAGGCTGGCTCGCTACTGTGTGGAGTCGTACCTGGAGCAGATCCTCACCCACGGATTCTTCCATGCCGACCCGGTGCGTGTCTGGTGGTGCTGGGGGTGGTGCTGTGGCTGCGATTGGGACTGGGGCTGGGACTGGGGCTGGGACTGATGCTAGTTTTGGTGCTGGTGGTGGTGGTGGCGGTGGTGGTGATGCTGTTGCTGGTGGTGATGCTGGTGCTGGTGGTGATGCTGGTGCTGGTGGTGATGCTGGTGCTGGTGGTGATGCTGGTGCTGGTGGTGATGCTGGTGCTGGTGGTGATGCTGGTGCTGGTGGTGATGCTGGTGCTGGTGGTGATGCTGGTGCTGGTGGTGATGCTGGTGCTGGTGGTGATGCTGGTGCTGGTGGTGATGCTGGTGCTGGTGGTGATGCTGGTGCTGGTGGTGATGCTGGTGCTGGTGGTGATGCTGGTGGTGATGCTGGTGCTGGTGGTGATGCTGGTGCTGGTGGTGATGCTGGTGCTGGTGGTGATGCTGGTGCTGGTGGTGATGCTGGTGCTGGTGGTGATGCTGGTGCTGGTGGTGATGCTGGTGCTGGTGGTGATGCTGGTGCTGGTGGTGATGCTGGTGCTGGTGGTGATGCTGGTGCTGGTGGTGATGCTGGTGCTGGTGGTGATGCTGGTGATGCTGGTGATGCTGGTGATGCTGGTGATGCTGGTGCTGCTGCTGGTGCTCGTGGTTGTTGATGTGACTGGCATATGGTATGCAGTTCCTCAATAGTCCATACTTCGTTTGAAACCCTCTGCACCCATGCAGACTTACTCAGGTGCATTTCTCCCACATTCTGCTGTATGCTGTTCGCCTGCATGCATGCATATCCGACCATCCATATATCCACTTATGGCTATGCGTTTGACTTCGTGTGAGCATGTCCGTTGTCCCCTTCGCCCATCCGTTGTCCTCTTTGCCCATCTATACAGCATCCTGGCAACATTGCAGTGGATGATGTCAATGGTGGCCGACTGTAAGTCATGCACGCATGCACCCGTGCACCCACGCATCCATACACTCCTGCACTCATGCACCTCTATACACATGCAATGATGCAACCACGCAGAGCCAACTCTGGGGGCATGCAGCCATAGATACACTCCGTCAGTCACACATTGACCACAGCACGTGCACTTATCACCTCAAAGCATGCTGCTTTGCTTTGAGCTATGCTTCAATGGCGCATGCTTTCTCTTTATCGTACTTCCCTCTCACTCTGTGATTCCGTTTTCCTCTCTTCTGTGTCTTCCCTCTGCCCCTTGTTGTTATCTCTCTGCCTCACTTGGTCCTCTGTCCCGCTCATACCCCCGCTGCCCATCTGCCACTGCTGCTGCTGCCACTGCTGCTATCACATCCGCATCTGCACTTGGAGTTGATCCTTCTGACGGCCATGATCCAATCGCCCAACGCCTTGTTCACCCTGTCACAGCATCTTCTATGATTTCGGCATGATGGGAAGGTAACCCTCTCCAACCACTACCAATAACATATTTCGATCCAGTTGCCATCACTTGATCGATTGGCTTTTCGGTTCACGAATGCTTCTCATTCGTGTCGTGTCACTCGCTTCTCATTCGTGTTCGTTTTCTTTGCCGGCTGGCCTGTCCTTTGTTGCCGGACAGGCCTGGCCAGCCAGCTCGCTCTTCTCTATGTTGCCGGACAGGCCTGGCCAGCCATGCAGCATCCCCTCTGACTGCCGTGTGGGCCTGGCCTGGTGGAGGCGTTTTACGGGGTGTATGAGAAAGTCCCTGACAAGGCTGCTATATCCACTCACTGTCCCGCCCGCCCCAGCCCTTCCCCACCCGCTCTCCTGCCCTTGTTCTCTCCCCCCTGGAAGCATTCTACGGGGTGTATGAGAAGGACCCAGACAAGGTGTTAGACGCCATGGTGCAGATGGGCGTGCTCGTGCCCACCCTCCCCTCCTCCTTTCCTCCCTCCCTCCCTCCCACCCAACCTGATCCCTCTGAACACCTGCCGATAGCAAACTCTACTCGCCCTCCCGCTCTCCCTTGAACCTCACTCCTCTCCTTTTGCCTGCAGCATCCCCTCGGACATCCGTGAAGGCCTAGTGGAGGCATTCTGCGGGGTGTATGAGAAGGACCCAGACAAGGTGTTGGACGCCATGGTGCAGATGGGCGTGCTCGTGCCCACACCCCACTCACACCCACCATCTCCCCCCTCCTTCCCTCCCACCCAACCAGACCGCTCTGAACACCTGATGCTGGCAATGGCATACTCTCACCTTTCTGTCCTCCTCTCCCTCCCCTGATCTATGCGGTCCTTTGCATGCAGCATCCCCTCTGACATCCGAGAGGGCCTGGTGGAGGCGTTCTACGGGGTGTATGAGAAGGACCCAGACAAGGTGTTGGACGCCATGGTGCAGATGGGCGTGCTCGTGCCCACCGGCGACCGCACGGCTGTGCGGCGCACGGCGCAGTTCTTCCTCAACTCGTTTGAGGAGCGCCTGGCACAGCAGCAGGCGGAGGCCAAGGCGAGTGCGCCTATGACCAAGGAGGAAGCCCTGGCGAAACGCAAGATGCGGCTCTCTGCCATTGGTGAGTGGGGCAAATCATGGAATGAGGCCTAGATGAGTGACCACACCGCTGTGCGGCGCACGGCGCAGTTCTTCCTCAACTCGTTTGAGGAGCGCCTGGCGCAGCAGCAGGCGGAGGCCAAGGCGAGCGCGCCCATGACCAAAGAAGAGGCGCTGGCTAAGCGCAAGATGCGGCTCTCTGCCATTGGTGAGTGGGGCTTGTCGTGCTAAATGCTCGTGGTGGTGGCGGCGCGCGGTTCATGCAAAGAGGCCAAGGCCAGTGCGCCCATGATCAAGGACGAGGCCCTGGCTAAGCAGAAGATGCGGCTCTCTGCCATCGGTGAGTGGGGCTTGTCGTGTTGGTGCGGATAGTGGTAATGATTTTTTTTAGGCTTCTCGAAAACAACCAGTGTTGCACCGAGGCGCCCTACAATGCAGCGAAGGCCTACACCACAAGTGGGCACCTTCATTCTATCCGATGTCGTGTTTCCTCTTCTGTTTCTGCACCTCTTGGCTCTAAGATTTTCCATCTAAGATTTTCCATCTAAGATTTTCCATCTAAGATTTTCCATCTAAGATTTTCCATCTAAGATTTTCCATCTAAGATTTTCCATCTAAGATTTTCCATCTAAGATTTTCCATCTAAGATTTTCCATCTAAGATTTTGCGTCTAAGATTTTCCATCTAAGATTTTCCATCTAAGATTTTCCATCTAAGATTTTCCATCTAAGATTTTCCATCTAAGATTTTCCATCTAAGATTTTCCATCTAAGATTTTCCATCTAAGATTTTCCATCTAAGATTTTCCATCTAAGATTTTCCATCTAAGATTTTCCATCTAAGATTTTCCATCTAAGATTTTCCATCTAAGATTTTCCATCTAAGATTTTCCATCTAAGATTTTCCATCTAAGATTTTCCATCTAAGATTTTCCATCTAAGATTTTCCATCTAAGATTTTCCATCTAAGATTTTCCATCTAAGATTTTCCATCTAAGATTTTCCATCTAAGATTTTCCATCTAAGATTTTCCATCTAAGATTTTCCATCTAAGATTTTCCATCTAAGATTTTCCATCTAAGATTTTCCATCTAAGATTTTCCATCTAAGATTTTCCATCTAAGATTTTCCATCTAAGATTTTCCATCTAAGATTTTCCATCTAAGATTTTCCATCTAAGATTTTCCATCTAAGATTTTCCATCTAAGATTTTCCATCTAAGATTTTCCATCTAAGATTTTCCATCTAAGATTTTCCATCTAAGATTTTCCATCTAAGATTTTCCATCTAAGATTTTCCATCTAAGATTTTCCATCTAAGATTTTCCATCTAAGATTTTCCATCTAAGATTTTCCATCTAAGATTTTGCGTCTAAGATTTTGCGTCTCATGTGTTCTGCTTCCTCACATGCCCCGCCCTCTCATGTGCTCCACCCTTCGTGTCTCTCACCAACAGGAGAGGACCTGTTGGCCATCGTAGGTGACCGGCCCTTCTGATTCCCATCCTCTCCTTGCCTCTGGCTGGCCTATCCCCTGCCTTGTGCTCTGCTCTCATGTACTCCCTGCTCTCTAATGTGCTCTCCACCCTCTCATGTGCCCCACCAACAGGAGAGGACCTGTTGGCCATTGCAGCTGACCAGCCCTTCCGATTCCCAGCCACGTAAGCAGATCGAGGTTTGATGTGTGGCATGGCATCACACACATGGCATAAGCAGCGAAATTGCATGGCATGCATGGCATGGCATGGCATGGCATGGCATATCATGGCATGCGTGGCATGCTGTACCTCTTCATGGCATGCAATCACATGGCACGGTCATCACACACCTTGATCACATAACATTGTGGAACGTGCCTTCTCAGTGCTGGACGCCTTTAGTAAGTGTCGCCCTTCACTGTCTCTGTTCAACCTTCATCACACCCCCCACACACCTCTCTCTGCGTGCGTGCAGCTTCGCCTTCGTGGTGCGCGCCTTCTCAGTGCTGGACGGCATTGGCAAGGGGTGCCATTCACTTCACCTTTCCCTCAACCCAGTTTCCCTCCTTACCGCACGTATCCCTCTCCCCCTGCAGATTCACGTTTGTGGTGCGCGCCTTCTCAGTGCTGGACGGCATTGGCAAGGGGCTGGACGCCAAGTTTGACATCTCTGAGATCGCCAAGCCGTACGCCCACTCTTTCCCATTTTCATTACTCACTGCCAAGGCTATACCCGCTCTACCCCCTTTCGTTTCACTCTCCCCTTCTGCTGCCAAGCTGTACGTCCGCTTTCTCCCCTCCATTCTTACGAAGCCGTACTGGCCCCTATGCTTTCTCACCTCGCTGCCGTCCTCCCCTCCTCTCCCCTCCTCTCTTCTTTACCCCTCTCCCATCGCGCCCCTCATCCAGCTATGCACTCGAGCTGCTTCGCTTCAGGGAGGTCGGCTCCGAGATTTTCTTCAAGGTGAGCCCCAAAGGATGGATGTTTTTACATCGCTCTGAGCTCAAAAATGGGCCCTGAGCTCCTCCTCAAGGCGAGCCACTGCCTTGCACTCTTGAAAACTGATGCTATGCCTTGTGTGAGAGGGCTCTGACCTTACGCATTTGTGCGAGCGGGCTGCAATGTGCTCAGCGGGTTGCCACGTGTTGGCATCAATGCACTCCTTAGTCATGCATGTTCTTCACATCAATTTTATTCCCCCTTCCATTGGGACCAATGCTGTTGGGTGAGCAGGAGCTGAGGAAGCGGTGGGACCGCCAGTCGCAGGCCTTCCGGAACCTACTCAGGCAACCCAGCCGTGTGGAAAAGCTTGCTGACGTCATCCTGAGACTGGTATGCGCCGCAGGTTCAGATTGGGTGGACTTGCACTTCACTAGCTGTTCTCTAGATGTCTTATGTCTCTTGAGATGGGCTGCTCAGACGCACGCACATTTGCATGCATATCATACCATGCATAACCCATCCACATCCTCACTCCTCTTACTCCTCTTTGCTGATCCACAGGAGCAAGGCGACTTGAAGCTGCGAGTGCGGACACTGGAGAACGAGAGGGCGTTCAAGAGAGTGGCGACCATGCAAAACACCATCGGCAGCGTAAGAATCTTATTCTTGCATGCACTGTCCACACCACAAATGGTTGTCAGTACATCCAGTGCCTGTGTCATCCCCTTTATTTTTGTCTGTCTATCAGGCACATTACTGACTCCCCTCCCCTCTTATTGTTATCGTTGCAAAAAAAATCCACCCTTGCAGGCCATAGCAGCAGCCACCCTGATGAATGTGGCTTCAGCCATGCACATTGCCGCCCGGAAAACACCTGCTACTTTGCTCCTGGTGGCCAGTGCTGTGTTTGGCCTGCGTGTGCTGATTGGCCTCATGCAAGTGAAGAAGCTGGACGAGCAGGAGAAGCTTATTATGGGTGTGGCATAAGAACAGTCGTGGTCCAAACTGAAGTGGCCCTGTGGAATACTACATGGATTCTTAAGCCCTCAAAATTCTAAACAAACACCCTGTATCTTTAGTGGCTATATTTCTCATCGAGTACTGATAGTGGCCGTGCCATCCACGTCCCACTGCTGTTTGAGCACGACAACGACAAAGGCTTCTGTCGTGGATAATGGCATGCGATGTGCAGCCGCTACAATTTGCACCGGGATTCGATTCTGATCTATCGACATGTCACGTGAACCGAGTGATCTGACGATGACCTCACTCCTGTCAAGCTGAAACTCCAGCCCCCCCATCAGCAAGGCTTGGCGCGGACCCCTAGCAGCTCGCCAGCGTGGACCTGTGCTGGGATTCTCGCAAGCTTATTGGCCCTAGCTGTGCAGCAACAAGGCGCCGAGGAAACCAAATTGCACGCCTCAGGCCGAGCTTCGGCACAAATGCGTGCAATGGAAAGTTTGCCGTTCAGATGTACAGTGCAGGTTCAGCGAGATGCTGTCGGATCATTCCCGGGTACAGTGTTTTTCATCCAACAAAAATAAACTCTATTACTGTACATAGATGCCCCTAAACATCATTTTTTTTCTCAGGGTCGACGAATCCTCCTCAGCGCAGGTCATCAAGGACATTTCTGAATCTTTAAAATACACTTGGATTCAGGTTAACGTAAGCCGAGAGAGCTCCTTTCGACAGCCAGGAAAAACAGTTTCTCCTTGCTGGAAAAGATGTGGATGACATAGCAGCGCAGGGGAAGCACGCATCGCATCAGCTACACTTCAGTATCTGAAGCAGGCTGCACTGCCTCTGCAAGAGGAACGTGCACGCCGCTCGAGCCGGAGGGGCCCAGGAGCTGGCCATCGACGGCACGCCGCGCGCCGAGATCGCGGAGCTGGGTCACTGGGCGCTCGACAAGATGACGCGAGCGTACATCACCGTCATTCCGGTGGGGGTGGTGATGAAGAAGGCCGGTTACTCTGGTTACAAGCAGGACTACTTCTTGGGCCGGAGCAGGGTGGAGCCCTCCGATAAGCTCTTGAAGCTCCTCGCAAAGCACATCTTCCCCGGCGTCGACGACATGCTGAAGACGGTATGTTAGTCGACGCCCTCGTATCCTTGTTTCCGAGTCGTGTTGCCGACAGTATCTGAACTCCTAATACACGTGACGAATTGCAGGCGGAAGGGAAGGCTGCCGAGGGGTCCGACGCCGACAAAGCCGCGGTGCACTTCTGGCGCACACTCCAGATGCTGCGCCGCATCGTCGCCGAGGACCTAGCGGTGAAGCTGGTCCGCACACCATGGCACCCGTACGTCCAAGGCTCCCTGCTCTGCCGGATCCCCCTCTTCCAGCACTGGGCGAAACGGGTCGAGAGGGTCGACACCGAGACGATCAACAAGCGTCGGGACCCGACCCAAATTCAGGCAGAGGTAAGTCGACGACGAGCTGGCTGTAGGGCATTCCAAACCACCTCGCGGCTAACGTCTTTGTCCTACCGCTGCAGGAAATCTCTGTCCGCATGGACACCGAGTACTACAACATATCCCTCAAGGCGAAGCTGACGAAGGAGATGGAGCGTGCCGCGAACGAGAAGATTGATTTCCTGGAGGAGCTCGAGAAGCGCGACGACACCATCGCGTCTCTCACCGCCGAGATAACCCGTCTCACCGAGGCACTCCGTGTGTCAGAAGCACGGAGAGTGCCGGAGGCCCCGCCGTGTGCTACCGCGCAAGCTCCCAGCGAGGGTGGCTCGGCGGAGCAGAGGGGAGCAGAGGGGAGCAGAGGGGAGCAGAGGGGAGCAGAGCAGAGCAGAGCGGAGCAGAGGGGAGCAGAGGGGAGCAGAGCGGAGCAGAGTGGAGCAGAGCGGCGGCTGATGGGCATAGCACCTGACGGTTACATGCGGGGCACCTGAGGGACATGTGAAGGGCATCTGAGGGGCTGACTGCAGCACTCACGTGTAACAGAGCACGATGGCTGGCGAAGGTTGCGGTTGCTCTTTGCTGACCATATGCCCTCCCCTGCCAAGTGTCAACGCACAAAGAAAGGCGATGACAAGGAAGGAGTGAGACAAGCAAAGGGAGGAAAGGGATACGACAAGGAAGGGGCGAATCAATCAAAGAATTGTGCATGAGAAGCACAGGGAGTAGTGAGATACACACAAGCACCGGGAGAGAGCAACCAATCTTCAGTTTTGCAGGGCCCAAGAACAGAATATCTTGCATTGAGGGACCGAGCATAAGCAGTACCAGCCTCATTACCTGGAGCAGAGATGTCAGGCTTAATGCGGCCATCAGGCGTGGGACCCCATGAGGAGAAGCGCGCCATGCTATCGGGGCGGAAGGCGAGAGACACTGCCAGGGGCGAGATGGACACCTGTTGGGGGGGAATGGTGAAGGCATGTGAAGGCAGGTGAAGGCAGGTGAAGGCAGGTGAAGGCAGGTGAAGGCAGGTGAAGGCAGGTGAAGGCATGTGAATGCAGGTGAAGGCATGTGAATGCAGGTGAAGGCAGGTGAAGGCACGTGAAGGCAGGTGAAGGCATGAGAAAGCAAGAAGCACGCACCTGCACGGGCTGGCCCCTCCTGAGAGCCGCATCTATAATGGCGCCCACAGCTTGTGGCACAGAACCACCTGGCACAGCCATGGGGGAGCGAAACAGCACAGATGGCACAAAGGATTGTGAGACGAGGTTGAGGACAACAGAAGTGCTACTGAAAGAAATCTTGCAGGTGAATGGAGATGCACTGAATGGCTTGGCCACGTAGGGGTTGGGTGCGATGCTGCTGGGTGGAGCGCAGAGTGAGAAAGAGAAGAAGCAGTTTTTGGGTGGTGTGGGAGGTGGTGTGAGAGATGGTGTGAGATCGCACCTGGGATGGTGATGCTGGGGTCAGCGCCAAAGGGAGCAGCCATGGGGAAGTAGCCGAGTGTGTCATTAGCCACAATCACTGCTGCTGCTGCACCTGCTGCCTGCGCGTTCCTGAACTGAAATGGTGAGTGTGGCACGTTGTAAGGAGAAACAAACGCAGTAGATTTTATGTGAAGGAGGGATGAGCTGTACTGAATTGGCCATACACGTGACGGCTGCTGCTGGGACGACTTTGAACTGCAAGGCCTTATGTGAAATGCTTTAGCAGCGCCATGATGTGGGCGAAGCAAGAGGAAACAAATTGCTGAAACAGCCTGGCGTTGACTGAGAGTGTGAGTGAGTGTGGCAATGGGAAACGGAACGGCATTGTTCTGACGCAATGCCCTTGTTCTGACGCAAAACACAGATTAGAACAAGAAAATAGCACAGAACTTGAAAACCAGCAGCGTGACTGTGTTGTCAGAGGAAAGAACGGCAGCAGACTGGCACCCACCTTATCCGCAAAGAGGCAGTTTCCCGCATCAAGCAGCACAATCAACCCAGCCACACTCCCTCCCGCGCTCCCACTACCGCCCCGCACCGCTCTGCACCCATCCCTTGGCTCGCCCCTCACCAGCCCCCACGGCACCCCCACCTCCCATAGGCCCGACTGGAAGGTGGCGCCAAAGGCGTGTGAGAGGAGAGGGTACCAGGCGCGGTCGGAGGGGAGGAGGGAGGGGGAGGGCGCGAGGAGGGAGAGGTTGAAGGGCGTGGCGAGGAGGGGCGGGGCGGAGCCGACACTGCCGAGGGTTGCGCCTACTGTGAGACAGTTCTTGGCGAGAGCAGGCGATGAGATGGAGACTGGGGGAGAGGGGGAAAGGTAGGGGTTGGGAGTGTAGGTGGCTTGGTTTACGAAGGAGATATTCATAATCGGAAGGGTGAGACGGAGAGGGTCGCCCCCACTGTGAGGCAGTTCTTGGGGAGAGCAGGTGACGAGATGGAGACTGGGGTAGCGGTGGTGGGTGGGGAGGGTGTGACGAGTATAAGAACCACACACGCACCTGCGTCTCGGTGCACAGCGCCCATGTTGCCTGCCGCGACTACTGGGAGGAAGTTCTGCCACGGGACAGAGAGAGGGAGAGAGAGAGCACGGATCAGGGGAACAGGAACAGCATGGTTAGAGGCATGGATGTGTTGTGGCTTGGATGAGTAAGGACTTAGGGATGACATCTTTCCACAGGCTGCCTGTCTGTTGCTGATTGCAGCATGTTAAGAGGCACAGATAGTTCTGGGAGCTCACAGGGTTGTTGAAGGTGAAGCGGTCGACTGACTGCGCCATGTAGTCATATGCAAACACTCCTGACGCCCACGAGTCCGAGAGGATCAACGCCCCCGCCTTCATTGCCTGCCTGCACCCACAGTTACACCACCGGGAAGCTGAGCAGAGTGAGGCAAAATTGGACCGCAACAGCTAAGCCTAGAGGAGGACTTATCACATTCTATGGCGGATGATGACACATCGACCAATCACCCGAGCAACACATGAACCTCAGCAGAGTTTCACTCACCCATAGTACCCACCGCCCAGGTCACCAGGCGGCATGATGTAACCCACATCGCCCTCGCCCATGTCAGTGAAGGCAATGCGTGCATCAGGCGCCATGCCAGGGTACAGATCCACGTTCTCTGGCCCCTTCGCCCCCTGCTGCCCCTGCTGCGGTTGCTGTGCTTGCTGTTGCTGCGAGCAGACCCCTGCCACGGAGCCGGCCACGTGGGTGCCGTGCCCCAGCTCGTCCACTGTGTCGCCGTTCACCACCCGGTACTGCACCACCTTGCGGTGATTCGGGCCTGGCAGAGGGACGGCATCGTCCCGGAAGAAGCAGCTGCAGGGGCGAGGGGCACGTGAGAGGAAGGGAGGCTAGCGTGAGTGAAAGCTGATTCGAAGACATTCCAGCGAGCAGCTGATTTGAAGAGGGGGTGGAGAAAAGCTGGCGGGTAACCACGAGCGCCTCAAAACTAGAAGGGGCGAGGGGCACGTGAGAGGAAGGGAGGCTAGCGTGAGTGAAAGCAGAGCCGGCCACGTGGGTGCCGTGCCCCACCTCGTCCACCGTGTCCCCGTTGACCACCCGGTACTGCACCACCTTGCGGTGCGTGGGGCCTGGTAGGGGCACTGCTTCGTCTTGGAAGAAGCAGCTGGAAGGGTGAGGAGAGGAGTGAAGGAGAGGGAAAAAGGTCGTTCAAGATCCTTGGAAGTTCGTCCACAGCGTCTCCGTTGACCACCCGGTACTGCACCACCTTGCGGTGATTGGCGCCCGGTAGAGGGACGTCCTCGTCCCGGAAGAAGCAGCTGGAAGGGTGAGGGGCTCAGGAGAGAAAAAGAGATGAGCCTGAGTGAAAGTGTGGATTCAGTGTGGGTGAGGCAACGGAGAAGGCAAGAAAGGCAGAACTTGCAATGACACGGAGAAGTACATGGCGTAGAGCAGGAACGGCGCAAAAACAGAAAGGTCAGCGAAAGAGTAGGACTCTGCTACACTCCCACCTCTGCATGTCAATGCCGCTGTCACCAATTCCCACGATCTGCCCGACCCCCGTGATTCCAGCACTCCAAAGGGGCCGTGCCACCCCAAACTCACTCCTCTGCTGCTCACTACCATCTCCTCCGCTGCCTGACCCTGGGGATCTAAACCCTGGGTCATCGTCTAGGCTAACAGAAGAGCCGCTTTGAGTGACAGCAGAGGCCCACCGGTTGTGCAGGCGAGAGCGGGGCCGAGGGGCGACCCACTGCACCCACCCCTGTTGCTGCAGCCAGCGCAGCACGGCAGGCAGGAGGGGCTTTGGCGCCGCCAGCACCAGCAGGCCTTGACTGGTGACGTCATGCTGATGATGATGATGATGCCTCTGCGTGGTATCAGATGTGGTGCTATGCGGTATGCTGTCTGCTGCTGATGAGCTTACATCATCATGACTTGAGTCGTGAATGGTGGTGCTGATTTCTTCGAGCGACACACCGAAGGTAGAGCAATACAAACTGTCAGATGTCTCCAGAAGCTGGGTGCGCGGATCATCCAGATTCTTCGGTCGATTGACATGTTGCATTGCTCCAGCAGGGGTACTATCTGACGACTGGTTCACTGCGGAGCTTGAAACCGTCGGATCTGGTAGACCAACTGAATCTGATCCGATGATTGGTTGCTGCAAGTGGTCGAACTTTTCACACAGGCTGCTGTGGATGAAGGATGCGTATGCTTTGGAGTTGCCGACCGGGCCTTGATCCGGCAGCACGACTGTGATAAGTGGTCGGCCTTGTTTGTCCACATCGATCATGTCATAAATAGAGCTTTCCTCCTTGATGTCATCCGCGGTTTTGTAGTGCCTGAAAAGGGAAATAGCCTGATTCAGCACCCCAACGTTTCACAAAAAAGCGACGACGGAAAGACAGCATATGATAACAACAGCAATCGACACTTAATTGCGAAGTCTGAATTAGAGAGCGAAGGTAAGAAACAATGGAATGAAGCAGTGACTGACCGTAAAATCGGACCCCATTCAGGTGCTAGCTTCGACTCTCCCTGTAGACGACCGATCCATGACACGTAGGAGAGCCGACTAAGCGAGCGAGCCGCCTTAACACAGGGAAGCAGAACCAGATACGAGTCGACTGGTACGTAGTTCAGGATCCGCCCGCCGACTGCATGCACGTCTTTAAAAAGCCGCTCTCTGATACCTTCTCTGCTACTCTGGGAGTCTTCGTCGGTGAACTGAACGAGAACGTGCACTGCGCGGAGAGCACGGACGAACTCAGTCGAACGGAGTGGTTTCCGGTCCCCGTCCTCCCTGACTCTGTTCCGATGGCGTTCTGGAGAACGTGAAGTTGCATCCCCAACCGACGATTCTGGTTCGTCATCGTCGCAACCGGAAAATTCGAGCAAAGCGGTCTTCGATATTCCATGTAGACTGATGTTGGGAAACACAAGGCAAAAACGTCAATGGCGGTCTTGGATATTCCAGTGAGAGTGGAGCAAGATGGCTGCTGTTTTGATGGTCAATTCTTGGATTTCACCAATTTGCAATTCTCAGCAAAGGCACTTCGCTTACCACAGCTCTCTGTTCCCAAAGTCGCAGACCAGCAAGCGAGTGTCGATGGATTGGCTCGCGAGCACAATCGGTCGTCGCACGATCTCTGAGGATGCCGACGAAACAAGAATTGCGATGACACAGACCACGAACAGAAGGGAGCTTGCGACAGACATCGCGGAACCGTCAGCGAGCTTCACGAAGGACGGACGACAGAAAGATTCGGCACCAACTTCACAGAGAGTAAGTCGCAGCCTGTAGATGTGCTCTTCGCATCAACGACTCGCGTGGCGAAAATCGCTTCAGCTGAATGCCACTTGGTGTCGTCGAATGTCGCACGAACCTTTCCCGTAACGCGTCTTTTCCAATGCCCATTCCTGAGCAATAGGCATTTATGGAGCAAGGTTAAAAGATTGTAAGAGTTAAGGGTCATGTTATGCAAAACGCCGTAGTGGATTAGTGACAAGTCAAGAGACCCTATCTATTAACTACAGCAATGAATCCTCACTTTACCCCATAGCTCCTCCCAGCACCACTGCAGTTTTCCCCTGTGCATCTGCAATAACATCCAATAGCCATTTCTTGAGCAGCTCCAGCCGTCGGGGCCCTACCACCACCCTCACACCCTTCCTCTTCACTCCCAGGGGGCGCATAAACTCCTTCCTGCGCCTCCTCGCGCCCTTCACCTTTTCCTCTTCTTCTCGCTCCCCATTCCGGCGGCGTTTCCTAGGCAGCTCCTTTTCTGTCTTCTTCTGCATGTTCTTGGCAGCAGGCTTGACTATCTCCACGTCCGCTAGCCTTTCCTGCCGTCCGTCCTTCTGCTCCTTCTGGATCTGCTGCTTCTCCTGCTGCGGCTGCAGTTGCTGCTGCTCCTGCACATCTTGTAGCACGCTGCCTCTATTTTCAATCTGACGCATGCCTTCCCCACCTTTCCTGGTCGCACTCTGTGCCAGCAGCACCCGAATCAGCCCACTGCTTCTGCACTCCCGCAACTCCCCAAGAATGCTGCCGCCAACGCTTCTGCTGCCAGTGTGAACGTTGATGCCGCTGCCGTTGCTCACACTGTTCCCACCAATGGTGCTGCTGCTGCTGGCACTGCTGCTGATACTTCCGGTAATGCTGTTACAGTCAGCATTCCCTGCTGTCTCTCCAGCCACTGCTGCCACTGACTCTGCATATGCAACTTCAATAGCACTTCGACCACCACTGATTGCGTTACAACTGGTGCTCAAATGGCCTGCAGAATCAACAGCAGCCATCCCAATAGCAGCAGCAGAGGTCCCAAGGTTATTCGTCATACTGCCCCCACCACCCAAAACCGCAGCCGCAGCAGAAGCAGCAGCAACTGCAGCAGCAGCAGCCGCAGCAACAGCATCAGCTGTGCTCACCCCTCCTCTTACTCCCAGCCGCGCCGAACCTCCGGCCGAGCCCAGCGATGCGGATCGGCCGAGGATGGTCCGGGGAGGGGTGGCAGCGGGTGACAGGGAGGAGTCGATAGCAGTGGAGGAGGGAGAGGAGGAGTAAGGCGGTTGGGAGTGGGAGTGCTTATGATTGGCTCCCCGGATCACAGTTGAGGTGAGGCGACGGCGCGGGTTGATGCTAGTGGTGGTGGTGGTGGCGGCAGTGGTGGTGGCAGTGGTAGTGCCGGTGCTGGTGGTAGCGATCGTGGCAGCAGGCGGCATGTTGCTGGGGTTGTTTGTCTTGGTATTGATAGCCGGCGAAGGGGAGGGCTTGGGGAGGCGAGCAGGAGAGTCAGTGGAAGGGCCGCTCTTGGCAACAGTCATACCGGACCCAACGGGCTCGTCTTGATTGGTTCCAGTAGCTGTGCCTGTGCACATGGCTGCAACCTTACTTGGTTCATTTTCATTACTCTGCGCGTCGTCATGAATAGCCGCGCTCAGGTCCCATTGCCGGAGCACATCGTCCAGCCTCACTCCTCGGTGAAACGGGTCGCTCAAAAACGAGTCACTGTCGCTGCCGCTTCCGGCAGCAGCAGCAGCGCCTTCATCTTCCCGTGCAGCAGCAGTAGCAGCAAGGGTGCTGCGAGTTACAGCAGAGTTACCAGTATCCGCAGCAACTGTAGCACCAGATGCAGCTGCACCCGCCTCAGTGCCCTCCTTACCCTCCTCTATAGCGGACAGACCCCCTGTTATCCCCTCACCCTCACCACCACTCCCTCTTTTCTCCGACGAGAGAGTGAGGAAGGGCGGAGGAGCACAGAGGGACGGCGTGCAGTCCAGGAGAGAGGAGGGATCGAGGGGGGAGCAGGGGAGGGAGTGTGCGGTGGGGTGGGGGGGATGGAAGGAGAACACGAGGTCAGGGGAGCAGGACGAGTCGGTGGAGGAGAGCTGGTCGAATCGGGGTTGGAAGAACCCGTCGAATGGGAAGTAGTCCTGTGATGCCGCATGCGGTTGGGCTTCAGGCTGCTCAGCAGCTGCTGCAGCAACAGCACCACCATCACCAGTAGCAGCAGCAGCATTACCACTGCGTGCCTTCCTTCCCCTCTTCCCTCTCTTACCCCTCTTCTCCCTCTTGCCCCTCCCCTTCCTCTCATTATCGTCACCACTACCCGCACCCGAATCACTGCCACTGCTGCTGCTGCTGCTGCATTTGATGCTAATAACATCGTCGTTATAAAACGGGTTCCAAAGTTCCACCATACTGCATGTCTCGCTCGCCTCCCAATCTCTCGGCGCCCTCGATTCTCCGCCACACAAAGTGTTCCCCTCAAGCCCCCTTGCGCCTAACACCTTTCCGCACCCCCCTATTCCCTGTCTGACATCTCTCCAGCGGGGCTCCGCTGCGCGCTCTCCGCCACCGCCTTCCCCTCCCTCGCCGCATTCCGCGTTGCCCGCCTGCTCTGTCCGCCCTTCCTCTTCAGCTCGCTCCGCTTGCACACTTGCTGCCACGTCACCCGACACGTCCGCGCCCGCATCTCTTGTTATCGCACTTGCGCCGTTCCCCGCACTTGCGACGTTCCCCGCGCTTGCGCCCTCCCGCGCAATTGCGCCGGCCCCGCCAGTTGCGCCCTTCTCCGCTCTCGTCGCCGCCGCTCTCTCCTGAAGCGCCGCTTCCGATTCTACAGTAGCTACAGCCGCCGGCGGCCGTCTCGCAAATGCTGCCGACCGACCGGAGTTGCCGTCTCCGCCTGCCGTCCTGCCGGCCGCCGCATCGCGCAGCCGTCCGCTGCCGTCCAAACTCCGCGATTGCCGACGTTCCACGTCCACTAGCGCACGCCCCGCGCCGCCTTCCCACGGCGATCTCGCGCCGTCGTGTTGATTGCGAAGACGCACGGAAGACACGCCGCTGTCCGCGTCGCTCGCCGTGATTGACGCCGCATCCGCCGCGGGGGCGCCATCGGTCGTCCACCAGCTTCGTCCCACAGTCGCAGAGGAGTCGTTTTCGTCGCCGAAATTCGTCGCATAGCCGCCGCCAGACCTTCCACCTTTCCGCCTCCCACGCGGACTCTGCGACCGGCAAGTGCGCGGACTGATCCCGCTGGCTGCTCCTCCGCCTTCCCCCCTTCGCGCCAATCCCCCTGCGGCGACGATTTCCGCCGCCCGCGCGGACTCCGCGGAGTCCCCTTCCTCCTCCGCAAGCAGGCCGCTGCAGTTCGGCGGAAGGCTCCGCGCCCTCCTTGCTCCCCGCGTCGCCCGCCCCTCGCGCCGCCTCAGCGAACCATGAATAGCCTCTCTAGGCGCTTCGGCTCCTCTAAAAGAAACATCGTTTCTGTGTAGCATCGGTATATCCGACCTGTCTGGACTTGTCTGTGCGTTCCGCTCCGCAAAAGCGCTTTCCGTTCCTAATGATATTGCGTTTCGCCCTCCTTCTGCCGCTTTTTCGTCTCCTAGACTGTTTTCGGCCCCTAGCGCCCGCCGTGTCACTTCCGCGAAAAGAGCACGATTTTCGCCACCGTCTGTGTTACTCGTCTGATCTCGCCCGTCCCTGTCATCAGCCACGTCATCATCGTCCGGGAACATAACATCCCGGTCCCAGTCCACGTCATCGACGCACGGCACACCGCACAGGTATCGGCGGTAGCGCGGAGTCCGCGGGCTTCCGATTCCGCAGGTGGGCGGAAAGCTTTGGGAACATCGCGACGGGCAAGATCGTCCGGAAAACGGGGAAACTGGACGGTGGGAGGTTTGCTCCTGCTGCTCCTGCTGCTGCTGCTGTTGGTGGTGGTGGTGGTGCTGCTGCTGCTCCTTCACGCGGTGACTAGTAAACGGACCGCGGCAAGTGACGGTGTGACCCCTCGCCGGGGAAGCTGGCGCCGATTGCGGACGAATAACGGGGATCGCACGCTCTGATCGAGACACACGCTCTCGGCGAAACCCTTTACGAATCGGCGATCCCAAGGCAACTCTAGCGAGCATCTCTAACGTTGTGCTGGTGCTATTAGCGGGGGGAGGCGTGACCGTCGTGGATTCGAGGTTAGTAGTAGCAGCAGCAGCAGAGAACTCGTTAGGGGGAATTGGGGGGATGGAACAATCAGGAGCGTTGCGACAATCGCTCGCCGTTCGTCGCAGACTTCGTCTTCGCTGGCGATCGTGCGACGACTCTCCACCAAAGTGATGCCGCCGGGCAAAGATACCCTGTTGAGAGGAGTTCGAGGGATGAGCAAGGGCAAGAAAACAAAGGATTGAACTTGTTGTCATGGGCAGTTGAAGTAACGCCAACGCACCGACAAGAAACGGGTCTCTTTAACAGACCCTTAAGTTTGCATCTAAATGTTACTGGGATCACTCTGACGGCCATCTCATGACGGTTATGCACTAATCCATGGCTAAAATCGGACGAAGCGACTCCTCCATTTCCAATCGATTGGATCAGGGACGTCCGTTAGAAAGCTGATCCCGATTTTTATTTAACAGCAATTCTTTTTTTTTTTTACAGCAGTTGAAACGAGCGTCCTACCTGCAGCTTCTGAAGAGCTTCCATCACGCTCCTTTATGCCGCCGTGCTCCTTATTCCCCCTTTTACAAAGCGCTAAGCTTTCCACTAAGTAGTCTTCCTACAGCCAGCTATTTCCAGTGCAGTGTTGTGCGAAGAACGTTTTAAGCTCTCTAATTAGGCTGAACTAAAACACGACGAGCTAACTATAACACGGCGGGTTGTTCTACACGTAGGAATAGTCTGAAGTGAGTGCAATGAGAATCGTTGGTACAAGCGGGAGTTACGGAGTAAGAATCGCTGGTTCGAACAAGGAGCAGCACCAATGGGATGCGGAGCGTCCATTCCAAGTCTCGCCTGACTATGCGCTGAATTCAGTCGCGAGGGTGAGAGAAAATAACGCCATTTTGGTTGGACGCTAGAATTAGACGCGAAACCCCCCCGCTTGGTCAGGAAACTGCATAGTCAACTACACGAGGATGGCGAGCAAGTGAGCACGGAGTATACGCAGGTGAAACCGCCATTCTGGAATGAGGGTTGGAAGCAGTCGAGATTTACTGCTCACAGACCAAAGCAAGGCCAATAGATTTACACCGAGGATTAGCAGTTGCGACAGCAACGGTCAGGATGCACAGTGAGTCTCCCTCTGGCTGGCCCTGCTGATCCAAGCGTGGCTTTGAAATGAGTAGGACCTCGAGGGTGCTCACTGAAATCCACTCATCATCATCGGATCGGACACGCCGAATGGAGTTTGGCTGGCAGGCGGTGGATCTTGGGGCGAGAAAGTCCAGTGGCCACCTCGAGATTGCTTGTCGGGAGTGGCTTGGGGCACTTAGAATTTCCATCACATTTTCAAAACCACTGCGCGGGAAAAAAGAGCGCAACGGGGATTGACGATGGCTTTGGAGACTGACGCAGCCTTTGGAAGAAACGAGGAGAGCATGTACGGTGGGATTCGTTTCAAAGTGTTTTAATGCGGTAAAGCACGAAAACCGCTTCTGCCTTTTCCAATTCACCCAACCTCTAAAATCCTCGCGACCCGAGCAACGGGCTGCTCCGTGCCGTGAAGGGTTGGTTGATACTTTCTGCTTTTGTTTCTGACACGACACGATTTCTCCTATTGGTCACACCAGCTTGTTGAGCCGACGACCATTTTAGACAGTTGGGCGGGCGAACATCTGTCATCTGTCTCTCTGTGGTGTGGTGTATAAGAATGGCGGCTGTGTGGGGGCGTCGATGAGGGCGGTGGGGCGGTCTTTGACTCATGGCATGCCTAGAGCCAAATTCTGGAATCGTCGATAACAGTGTGGACGATAACAGTGTTGTCTGCGTTCGTACAGTTCCACACAGTGGGTTTGTTGGCAAGTTCAGCCCATTCGCAATGCCAGCAAGATCCTGCCCAAGAACCTCTGCTGCCTGTTGACAAATTCACATCGAGGGCGTGAAGCTCCTTCTAGGGCGTGTACAAAGTGCTGCACAAACTCGAAGTCGAGGAACGTCGGTGAATCCTGACTGTTGGAACCTTTGATCCGAGGGTGGAAATTCACCGACGTTGCTCGACGTCGAGTTTTTGCGCACTTTGCACACGCCATAACCCAGTGGAAGCTTCGAAACCCGGTGCACCGGGTTTTGCCGTGGCGTTCCGCACCACGTTCCAAAGAAATATCATTTCTTGTTTTTTTTTTTCTCTCAATGTACATACAGAGGAACAATAGCAGACAGATGAAATATGGCACTGTATTCTTCACAATCAATGCTGCGTGTACTGTAGGTAGCCAGTCTCCAGCTAATGTAGGTCCACACAACACCACTGAACGTGTGCTAGCAGGTAACGTGTAGACAATCGCACGTAACCACGCGTGCGACCAAGTTCCTTGTGTCGAGACTTCCCGCCGAAATTCAAATTCCTTACTGCAACGAAACCAACGCCATTATCCCACTTCTGAACCTGTACCACTTGGAACAGTACAGTATGTAGCATCTGCCTTGCATTTGCTAGGGCGGGTGGATTTGAGCGGTGGTTTTGAGTTAGTGGGTGTGCCATGTGCGGCAAAACTACTCTGGGCCGCGCTGGGCCACTGCGACTCAGGGGATTTGCGCGGACCAGCGCGGACCAGCACGGACCAGCGCGGACCAGCGAGGACCAGCTGTATGGACCAGCACACGGCCCAGGAGGTGACCCAGGTAGCTCCCCCCACGGACCAGCATGTACAGTGGTCGGTGCACGTGCAGGATTTGGGGGACCACTTCCAGCAGTCGACCCCAATTCGCGGCCCAGGCACTCGCGAAAACAAAACGTCGACCCATTTCGCGATTCGAGCCGTCGCGAAATGTAGTTCGCGTGTGACTAGGTGCGACCTGGTTTTCGTCCTCCTTGCTTTTGCGAAACTGTAAAACACTGTTCTCTTGGGATCGGCTGCAAATGGTGCCCGGGACCACGCGGGTAGCAGGCAGGGACCACTTTCGCAAGTGGTCCCTGAAAACTGGTGCTCCCTTGTCTAACCTGGTCCATTTCCCTGTAAATGGACCAGCGCGCAATGTACCACCCCCTTATTCGGAGCGAATTCCTAGGCACGGACACCATCCGAACTCTGGACATGTTCAACGTATTTTTTTGCTGTACGCCTGACCCAGAAAACCAAGCTACGAAAATTGCACTGCTGAAAAAGACACGCGAAATTATCTACGTTCTCTGTACACTCCACGCCACACATGTCAGTGAGTTGTTTCAGCACAACTGACCAAACGCATCTAAACTAGCTTCCTCTACGCAGGGTAGGGTTCGAGATTATCCAGCCTTTCAAATTAAGAGGTATCTTTAAAATTAGACCTTCAAACAAAAACAAAAAAGGCAACCCCTCAAGGTGTCCCTACTTCGGATGGTGTCCCTACTTCGGATGGTGTCCCTACTTCGGATGGTGTCCCTACTTCGGATGGTGTCCCGACTTCGGATGGTGTCCCTACTTCGGATGGTGTCCCTACTTCGGATGGTGTCCCTACTTCGGATGGTGTCCCTACTTCGGATGGTGTCCCGACTTCGGATGGTGTCCCTACTTCGGATGGTGTCCCTACTTCGGATGGTGTCCCTACTTCGGATGGTGTCCCTACTTCGGATGGTGTCCCTACTTCGGATGGTGTCCCTACTTCGGATGGTGTCCCTGCGTGGGAATTAGCCCTCAGTTACATCATTAACGCTACTCACGATCTCTACACAGTGTTTTGCAACCACATATAACACAACCTAACCTTATAATACTCAAGCTGAATTGGCAATATCCTCCCTTAGCCTCCGCGCCAGAGCATCTAGTCCCTTTTTCTTGTTCACCTGCTTCGAATTACGCGTGCCAAACAAACCAACCGCAGCCTCCCCGACATCCTGTCAATCACATAGAACAGCAGAAGTGTAAGCCGGCGCCTCCATTTTGAATTTACACAAACAGGATAAAAATTGTAGGAATTTAGCCGTACCAGGTTTCATTAGCAAGTGTATACGTACCCGATACTTATCGCAGACGATGAGCACTTTAGTCGGCGCCAGAGCCCCGTAATTCTTCTCCCGGTGCGACTTGGTCGCATAATGCTCGGGGTTGTTGCTGAGAATGAGGTTGATGAGCTGCCGTGACTCCGCAAGGTGCGACTTAAGAGGCACAGCCTCGCCATTGTCCTTCATGACGCCGCTCTTCTCGTCCTCCTGGTCGGCAAAGCCCTCAATGACACGCAGGTCATTGTCCACTCCCTGGATGGCGTACAGGTTGAACCGCGGCACGGCAGAGCCACACAGCAGGCTGACGAGCACGTTGCTGATGTGGCGCATCATTCCTCCACTCACCTGCGACAGGTGTGGACA